CTCGAAGGCGGAGAAAAGGTCATTGAACTCGAGCTGCCAGGCGCAAGCTACGCCGGACGCCAGCAGAAAGCAGAGCTGGAGCTGGTTTGTGACCCCAAAGCCGACGAAAGCTCGCATCCCACCGCAAGAAGCTACGACCGCAGCGATGGCGAACTGAAACTCCGCTGGCCCACCAAATTTGCATGTTCCTCCGCCTCAACTAATCCCGGAGGTGGATCAGACAAGTCGCCGCCTAAAGGTCAAGATGGCGACAACAAGTCGGGTGACAGGAGTGACAGCGGCAGCCAGGGAGGCTGGGGCTTCTTTCACTGGCTCTTCTTCTGGGCCTTCCTTGGCTTCATCGCGTACATGGGCATTGGCATCTACAACAATTACAACAACTATGGTTCGACGGGATGGGATCTGATCCCACACAAAGACTTTTGGCGCGAGTCACCGTACATTGCTCGAGATGCGGCATCCCACGTCTGGCAGTCTGTCTCTGGCAACCGAAGTCGGGGCGGCTTTGGCACTTCGGCCGGCAGAGGTGCATACGAGCCAATCTAGTCACGAGCAAGCGTGCCGGTGCATCCGGCTCACTGGTACAAATGCGAACGGAAACCGTGTAGTGCTGTAGCTCGTCCGTATTTCAGTCGAATTGGTAGCCTTTCTCGCACGCAGTACCACGCTTTTGTCACATACGGAGCAATACTACCACACTGGAACATGTCAGAGTGCCTCGAGAATGTCATGTTCCGAATGTATGGCTTTTCGTGTGCTAGCAGATGCTCTGAGCCGTCACAAAGGTGACTGCTTCCTGTCAGTACTTAATGTGGAAATAAACATCGACACAGGCCTCTTCTGTAACTGAAAGAGTGTGTTCTTTCCGCTCTGCATTCTTCCGATTTGCTGGACAAAGCTGTGTTCTGGTGCAGCATGGCTCTCGGCATTTGCATGGCTGCGGGAAGAGGTTCCGCATGTCCGGCCTTTCCACGCTGTCAGTTATCCGCAGCTGCGATGCTCGCAGATAGCCCTCGAGAGCTGTCAGCTCAGCAATCTCATCTAGAAAGTTATGTGAGCCTCGTTCCTTCCTTCGCTCCTCCTTCTTTTCCGATACCATCCTGCATCAACAAGAGTCTCACTTCTACATTTTTGCAAGCTACATCAACAGTAAGATTGGCCTTCTTTGGGAGCATCTGACATCCTCGACGCACCGCTTGGTAGACTCTCAGCATGGTCGAAGATCGAGCAGCCAAAGCGGCCAAGGAGCAGCCTTGGTCCAACAAGGAGCGCCTAGTCATGGTGCAGGCATACTTTCAAAAAACTCAGCTCGACGATACTGCGCATAAAGCCATGTGTGGGGCGCTCGATGCTCTCGATTCTCCACACCGGGATCCCCAGGCCGTAAGTATGGTTTGCAGTGTCTCGCTCGTGGAACCTGGACGCGGCTCCTGGGGCACTTGACTCAACTCCTCTGTGTCTGTTTCTCGTCGCTTCCTCGCCCCTAGATTCGGCGGCAGTGGAATCGAAAGATTGTCAAAGATATTCTTGCGATTTACAATAGCGGAAGCGCTTCCGCTTCCACTTCGACATCCACTCTCTCGCCCAAGAAGCGGCAACGACTTGATGATGCATCGTAATGCGGCAATGGTGGCCGACAGGACTCGGGCACCATGCTATCCCTGGCGACGCGAAGTGTTTCCAACGCTGGATCAAAGTCAAGCTTCTGGAGCCGCACTGTACGTGTCTACGATCTGGATTCATGCAATTTCTATCCCTCCGCCATCCTGATGCTGACCACGGCGGAGAAGGGGGTTCCATCTTTCTGGTCGGTAGGTACATGAGGCCTGGTTGGGCGGGCGGACGAGCGTCGCGTGAGAGCGTGATATCCTTTGCAGCCAGCCACGGCTCTCTTGCGGCGGTTTTGGCGGTCTCGCTCAGCCTTGAGTTGCCAAGCGCGAGCCAGTCGGCGACGGCGCCTTTTGGATTTCAAATCAGATTCATGGTCTAACAGTTGATGTTTAGCTTGGCAGCACCAGCGCAGAGCTGGCGATCCTCGCGTGCAAGCACGGTTACCTGCACCGACATATCGACAAATAAAAAGAAGAAAAAAGACACGGAATCGAGCATGTGCAGCGCTGTCCTTGCCACGAAATCAATAATTCAATTTCATCTGCCCTTTACTTTCTTTCTCTCTTTTCCCCCTCTTTGATGACGCTGTTGAGCCTGACAAGGTTGGCGTGCCCGCCGCGCCTCCTCGACCCACCCTTTTTTGAGAATTTTTTGCAGGTTGGGCGATCTGCAGTCGGCCTGCCCGAGAACGGCAGTGTAGAGTAGTGTACAGTAGTGTAGCGTAGCTCAGTCTGCAAGTGAGCGCGATGGCCCTTTGTGTGAAGGAGCTTGGTTGGTTGGTCGGTCGTAGGCCTCGACGGCGACAACGTCTCAGCAAAGTCGCCTGGACAGCATTACGCATTCTGCGCGTGTACTCGTACTCATCCCAGACATCCATCCATCTTCACCACTCCTGTTACACGGCCATCACACCAGCATCTGCGTGTCAAGGTCTCATTGAAGGAGCCGACGCGATCCGCCAAACCCAGCACAGACAAGGCGCCAGTCTTTGATTCGATCGCGTTTCTTGCGGCTAACGTCACAGCCCCAGTCTCCCTTTCCGACACCATTTCTCTCATACCCTACACATAGCTATCGCCACAGCCAGCGGTAGCTGCTCCACACTCTACGAAAATGGCGCCAGCTCCCGCGGAGAAGGAGACACGTATTGCGATCGTCAACTCTGACAAGTGCAAGCCGAAGAAATGCCGACAGGAGTGCAAGAAGTCGTGTCCCGTCGTCCGCATGGGCCGATTGTGTATCGAAGTCACTCCGTCGAGCAAGATTGCCTTTATCAGCGAGTCGCTCTGCATCGGTTGTGGTATCTGCCCCAAAAAGTGCCCCTTTGAGGCCATCAACATCATCAAGCTTCCCACCAATCTCGAAAACGAGACCACTCACCGATACAGCGCCAACTCGTTCAAGCTGCATCGTCTCCCAACGCCGCGAGCCGGCCAGGTGCTAGGTCTGGTTGGTACCAACGGTATCGGCAAGTCGACCGCGCTCAAGATTCTCGCAGGAAAGCAGAAGCCCAACCTGGGTCGTTACGATGACCCTCCCGACTGGCAAGAGATCCTCAAGTACTTCCGTGGATCCGAGCTGCAGAATTTCTTCACCAAAGTGCTCGAGGACAACATCAAGGCTCTCATCAAGCCTCAATACGTCGACCACATTCCGCGTGCCATCAAGGGCAAGGCCTCGGTCACCCAGCTCCTCGATGGCAAGCTCGAGCGTAACAACAAACAAGAGATCATCGACAAGCTCGACCTCAAGGAGGTGCTCGACCGTGATGTTCAGAACCTCTCGGGTGGTGAGCTGCAGCGCTTTGCCATCGGCATGTCTTGCATTCAAAATGCCAACGTCTACATGTTCGACGAGCCCTCGTCGTATCTCGATGTCAAGCAGCGTCTCAATGCCGCCCGAATGATCCGCTCTCTCCTCGACTCCAACACTTACGTCATTGCCGTCGAACACGATCTGTCGGTGCTCGACTACCTCTCCGATTTCATCTGCTGTCTCTACGGTGTGCCTTCGGTCTACGGTGTCGTTACCGTGCCCTCGCCCGTTCGCGATGGCATCAACATCTTCCTCGACGGTTATATTCCCGCAGAGAACATGCGATTCCGTGAGGAGTCGCTCTCGTTCAAGATCTCGGAGACTGCCGAGGAGGAGGTGCTCGACAGGACGCCCAAGTACACGTGCCCGCCCATGACCAAGACGCTCGGCAACTTCAGCCTCAGCATCGAGGGTGGTGAGTTCAGCGACTCGGAGATCATTGTCTTCCTCGGCGAGAACGGTACCGGTAAGACCACCTTCGTCAAGATGCTCGCCGGAAAGCTCGAGCCCGATCCCGGTGCCAAGAAGCCGCCGCAGCTCAACGTGTCGCTCAAGCCTCAGACCATTGCGCCCAAGTTCCAGGGCACTGTGCGCATGCTGTTGCTCAAGCAGATCAAGGCCGCCTTCATGCACCCGCAATTCCAGACCGATGTCGTCAAGCCCATGTCGCTCGATCCCATCATCGACAACGACGTCCAGACCCTCTCTGGTGGTGAGCTGCAGCGAGTCGCGCTGGTGCTCGCGCTCGGCAAGCCTGCCGACATCTACCTGATCGACGAGCCCTCGGCCTACCTCGACTCGGAGCAGCGTATCATCGCCTCGCGCGTCATCAAGCGATTCATCATTCACTCGCGCAAGACCGCCATGATCATCGAGCACGACATCATCATGGCCACCTACCTCGCCGACCGCGTCATTGTTTACGAGGGCCAGCCGTCCGTCAAGGCTACCGCCAAGCGCCCCGAGTCGCTCCTCACCGGTATGAACAGCTTCCTTGCGACCCTTGAAGTGTCGATGCGTCGTGACCCCACCAACTACCGTCCACGTGTCAACAAGTTCAACTCGATCAAGGACAAGGAGCAGAAGGCCGCTGGTCAGTACTTCTTCCTCGAGGACTAGACATGTCACACCTCGATCACTTCGGTCGTCGTCTCGCCTGGAGTAGAACATCTCAAAATGCGACGTAGTGTCGCTCATCCTCAGGCATCCTCCATTGTACATTTATTCACTTGCATCTGATGCAATCGCATTGGTTAATCTGCATCCTTCTTGTCTGGCTTGTGACCTGAGCATGAAGCCCACATCTGTTCTGTTCTGTCAACGACACGAGCACACTTCTGTTATTCCGATGCAAGCAGATAGACCAAGATCGTCAATTCGCTCGTCTCGTCGGCCACTCTTCTATTGTCTGTGGCCGAGCATGCGTTTCCCTCCACTTCCGACTCCCATGAAATAGTTGAGATGATTAGAAGAGATGTGATGGCAAATGCGAAATGCACCTTGAAAAGCATTGCCCGGATAAGAGGCGCAGAAATGACTGAGGTGCGAAATTCGGGCATGAGGAAAAAAAAACATTCCCGGCCGGGGAATCGAACCCCGATCTGAACAGAACGCGCTACTGAGAGAACAGAAGCTGGCTTTGAGAGTGTCCTATACTAACCATTGTACTAACCAGGACTTGATATCACTACGAACAAAATAGTAATGAATAAGCTGCCACAATAATTTCCTTGTCTTGTCGTCCGGCTGCTTCCACTCCACGGAGCAGAAAAATGTACATAGCGCAAGACTCCACTCCACGAAGGCTCCACCGCTGAGCGGCAAGAAAGCGCCGCTTCACTTGCCGACCAGACAATCTTGCTCCGATCTCATTCCGTATCCTCATTCACACAAATTCAAGGTGCGTGACACTATGTTTATACGCAAGAGGGAAGCACAGGTCAAAGAGTCGAAAAGGGGTATTTGATGCGACGAAAAGTAGTCTAGCCGAAAAGATAGGCAATACATATGTGTCATGGGCAGAGTACAAGCATCACATGGTGTATGCGAGTGCAAAAAGATTCTTGTCAGAACGTAATCCAGGAAGTATGGGGGCGCAAAAGCACCATACGCCTTGCAAACGTGCAAGCAATGTAGTGCGGAGATGGCGGCACTTAAATACACCGCCTCTGCTAGTCATCGCAGGCCAGTTGCGACACTTCGTTTTGGCGTATAGTGGCATGGGTATCAAGCCACGCCTGGCCCTCTTGGGATCGCGGATCGTGATGAAGTCGTATTGCTTGGCCGGCTGCAGAAGCCTCGTTCGGGAATTGGATGGTGATGTGGCTCTGTACTTGCATCTGAATGTGGGTCGAATCCCGATCGTCTGTCTGACCAAAGCTGCCACAGAGTAGCCATGGTTCATCCCACGTCTCCCAAGGAGTGGCACGCTTAGTCGCGTCGCGACGGAGAAGGCGCATCACCATGGCCTTTGCCACAGGCGTCACCAGCCGAAGGTTGGCCGGGCACTGACTCGGATCTGGCCTGTCACTATATGTCTCGTTGGACTGGGCGGGCCAGCGCAGGTCTCCCTTGGCTATCCTCAAGAGATGCCGCTTGCGTTCTCGAGGGTCGCGCTCACCTCCGTGGCCCTCGCGTGCGCCACCGACCCCTGTGCCGATATCCTCTATGAATGGAAGCGAGCCCGTGATTAGTGCGTACAGGACCACGCCGAGAGCCCAGGCATCAGTCTTCCGGCCGTCGTACTTCTTGCCGATGATCAGTTCCGGCGCCGCATACTCCTCGGATCCACATCGCGTCTCGAGAAGAGGATTCGAAGGATTGATGAAGCGGGACAGTCCAAAGTCTGTCAACTTGACCAGCGGGCCCGGGTTCGGCAAGTGGTTGGGTCGCAGCGGATTTTGAGCTGATTCGGTCGAGAAGATTCTCGCGGTGAGAAGGATGTTTTCGAGCTTGATGTCACGATGGACGAGGTTGACCTGGTGCATCCAGCCGACGGCATTGGCCAGCTCGGAGTACATGGTACGGACCAACCACTCGCGCTCGGCAAATTGGTCGAAATGCGACGTGAGCGCTTCGAACAGTTCTCCTCCCACCACCTGTTCGAGCACAAGAGTGTGGTGTAATGGCGTGCTGAAGGAGGTGATGAAGCGCACAAGGTTCGGGTGCGAGATGTGTTTGAGTACTTCGACTTCTCTGACCCAGCTCACCTTGAGACGCTCGTTCTGGTTGCATGGCTCCCGATCTAGCATTTTGAGCGCCACAAGCTCTTCAGCGGGAGGCTCCTGCGCATGAGTGTCCTCGTCAGGTCGCCGTCGCGCCCGCTGTCGTAGCGCCGAGAGCGACGATATGAGCTTCTCGGGCTTGGACGTTTTGCTCTGCTGCGTCGCTATCAACCTTCCAAGCGCAACACGGCTGAAAGCACCGACGCCCAGCGTCTTTTCGATGTGGTATGGACCTATGCGAGCGCCGTCTTCTTCCTCCTCGTCATCAGCGGCAGAAATCGTTGGAGTCGTCAAAGATCCTGAGCTCGTCGTCTTGTTCTCCTCGACGATGGGCGAATAGCTCTGTTTCTGGCGGAGAGAGGGATGTGGAAGGAAGCTGCTGCCGGTCGCGCTCTCCGAAGGACCTTGAGAATGTCTAGAGTTACCTCGACGACTACTCTCCCTCGAGACGCCTGCCGTGGGACTCGTAGTCGCTGCAGTTGCTGGTGTCGTCGTCGAACCAAGCAGGTTCTCGGAAGAGTTCTCACCAATGTCTCTCCACGAGCGGAATTCGAGTCTTGGAGCGATACTAGAGGCCGGAGACGACTGCGCGCTACGATCGTCGTCTAACTGAAGCTGGCTTCGGGTGCGTGATACATGTGGGCTACCGGGCGCCCAGGGCACGTTGGGAGGCAGGCCGTCGTGTGTGGCGCTGGGAACGTCCGAGATGGCCGAAAGTGAGATCTGCGAGGTAGAGTTGAGATTAAACATGCCATCCTGCGCTGAGGGTCCGGTCGGATCGACTGCACTGAGAGGTGAGTTGAGCGGGTCTGCCGAGAGGCTCGACTCGCCGCTGCCGATCCGAACATGCCGCGAGAATCCGGGCGTTGACGAAAATGTCTGTTGGCCTGGCGCACCGTTGTAGAGGTAAAGGGCCGAGGAGGACCGTGCATTGGACGCACCGACACTGGAGGTAGGCTGCCCGCTCTCCTTTGCTAGCAGTGTCGGCTGACGGGGAGCCGAGCGTGTTGGATGAGAGCCCAAGTCAGCCGACACGACCCGATGGCCAGAGTTGCGCGGAGCCTCGAGAGCATCCGAGTGGCTTACAGTACGGTTGCTCAGGTGAGCCGCCTTGACGCTGGGCGCCCTTGCTAGGAGGGAGGAGGCGGAAGTTGAAGTGCCAAAGATGGACCAATTCTTGCTACCAACCTCGTGTGTGGTAGTCAGCTGCTGCCGGAAGCCGTTGCTACTGCTGCCGTTGGACGTGAGGGAGGCGGCGTCGGTGGAGTCCTTGCGAGAGGTGGGCACGTCAAACATGTCGCGTGCCTGCTCGTGCTGGACGGCTGGGCTGGGTAGTGGCGAGACGGGTTTGCCCTCGAACTCGTCCCAGTTGCGCCTGCTGCGTATCGACGACGACGGCTTTAGGTCGGTGATATGGGGACTGACGCCGAGGCGCAAAGAGTCGCCGGCTACGCTAGAGTCTGCCACCGAGATGTTGCTGAGGCTGTCCAGCGAGCGGATGGAGAGTCTGCTGCTGGTGGGCGCGTCGAGATTGTCGGGCGGTGCTGTAGCAAACGAGGTGCTGAAGATGCTGTTTCTGCTGGGAGCGGCCGCGGGTGACGAAGAGGATGGCGCAGATGGAGGCTGAGACGAAGGCTGTCTGCGCGTATCGATGCGAGGTGGCGATATTCTGTGCACTGGCGGGTGTGCCATGCCAATGCCCACTATCGGAGCGCCGGATGCTGACGAAATCGGAAGGCCCGAAGAGACGAAAGGGCCGTTCTGCTGCTCGAGGGTGGGAGTGGTGTCCGCGTCTGTCCTGCTAAAGCCAAAGGCGCGCGAGACGGTCGTCGCGCCGCTTGGTCTGCCATCGTCCCTGCGAAAATCGGCGCTGCCGACGGTCATGATGGACTACGATAATGCAAAGGCTGGATGGAGGCAGCAGGCCACGTCACGTTGAGCCGACAGAGCGCAATCGACGGCGTGGCGTTGCGTTGCGATGCGCTTGCATACGCGTCAGTAATCCTTCCAGTCGACAATTCCGCCCCGTCGCAGCGGCGATGGTATATGATATGACGATGCAGAAATGGTGGCAGCTAGACGAGTGGATGGTGTGTTGGTAGACGACGAGCACGGTGAGGAGGGTATCCAAGGTGAACGGCGTGGATATGTCCGCATCCAGCCAAAGGGGGTCCACCTTCGGCACGCGCTGTTCAGCCGGTCGGTCAGCCAGCCAACTTTTGTTCAGTGAGTCAGTCGTGCCGAGCCTAACTTAACTGCCAACTGTACGTGTATTGATGCAGCTGAGGTACAGCTACAGTAGTACGGCACTGTCGTCGCTCGTCCTCTCTGAGCTACAGTACCTACCTCTGTACGACTTGACTTGCCTCAGCCCTATCTGCGTACTGTAGCTCGAGCTGCACCCTATCTCTTTCATTTAATGAATCTGTCCTTGGTCGTTGTTGTGCCTGTCCCGTTTTTGGCTTTTTCCTTTCCTTTCTCGTTTGCATTATTTGTTGCTCCGGCTCGCTTGGATCGCGTTTCCACTTGCATTGTGCGTGCCCACCACTCACCGTTCTCACTCACCTCACTTCACATAGAGACCCACACCAACACACATACGCAAAAGGACCCGTCAATGGACAGCGTCGCGACTCTTTCTCGCGCCACCGAGTCTGACCTCTGAACCTTGGCATGTGCATCTGCCACCTACCACGTTCATGTGGCTCTCCAATCCTGCCACAGAGGTGCCTAATCCAAAGCACAGATTCGCATCGATTCCTCCTGCCGTTTGCCAAAGGGTCGACACACAAGCACACACACACACACACCCCTACACTTTCGCCATTGCAGCATGCAGCCCCGGAGAGGTCTACCTTATACCTTGTTGCTACGGGACATTGCCCTGAAAGTATTATTGTCATGAAGAAAAAAACTGAACAGGGAAAAGCTTGGTCTCGCGACACGGACGAACATGCATGGAAATAGATCGAGCCGAATGACGGCACAATGTGGGACCCGAGATGGATATCTTTGGTCTGGTTCGCCAGATCTGATGGCAAAGAGGGCGCAGCTTGTGCGATGCACTCAGTCGCGCCGACTCGCGCCGGGCGGTGGCGGTGGCGGGTGGGATCCGTCACGATTCAAAATGACGCCGGCACCCTTGATGCCCATGCGCTTGTTGTAGCGGTCGATCTCCCATTGCGCAAGGCCGTCCTGTCCGCTCCAGTTGGCCGACGAGGTTCGTGGACGTCGGATACGGTTCAGCGTTCGCTCCCCCGGCAGGATCTTTTCCAGCTCCACCGGGCCCTGAGGGATACCAAAGATCTCGTCCGCATCCACCGTCGACTGGGCCAGCAGCGCAGCATCCAGGGCATCGCCCTGCGTCCATAACGGCATTGCTGCTCGCTTCTGAATCGTCTCCTCATCCTCCGAGTCAGAGTACTCGGACGCAATGTCGGGCAGCGGCTCCTC